GGAAAAAGGTAAAACTATATCAAAGCTTATAAAAATGGCGAAACTATATCAAACACTTAGTAAAAATTTAGCGAAAAAAAAGGTTTTACCATTTTGCTAAATCCAAAATGAGTTTAGATAAGCAACCTTAGTCTTAACTTGCTAAAAGATATTTATCAATTCCTGTAACTTCTTTACTTAGCGAAAGATTGTTTTCTGATGCAGGTAATTATATTTTAGCAAAATATACTTAATTATCTTCAGATTTGGTTAATCAAGTTTTATATTTAAAAAGAAATAGTGTACATTTTAATATTTTTCCATCTCAAGAGATCTAATCTTTTTTAGTTAACATTTTGTCATATAATGTGTCTTAATATTTTTCTTTTAATAAAATATAAATTCAAAAATCATTAAGATCGCAATTCAGTTTTTCAGTTTTATTACAACTGTTTGCCCAGTTGAACCAGTTTTATATAAATTCAGTTTAAATTCGGGTCTCAAATTAAAAAGTGTTTAAAACTAATTTATTAAAATAAAACTGGTTTCAAACTCTAGGAAGAGTTATGCTATATAATCTGTAAGCCAAAAATAACATAATTGTAAATCTAATTGATTTTCATAACAAGTATTTAAAATAGCTGTTTTTCATTACAATAAATCATATTTTTTCATTTTAATAACAGTTATTATTGGTTTACTTTTTTCTTGATTTTAATATGCAGTGCAAATAATTAATATATTTTTTCTTCACGAATACTTTCCTTTCATCTACTATTATTCCATATCTATAAAATTGTAAAGTTTGTATTATTTGATTGATTTTAAGATTTATTTGAGTAATTTCTTTATTCCATTTGCTAATGTACTAGCAGAAATCCATTTAGTAGATGTTTCTCCAGTTAAGAATCCATATATAGCTTTAGTACTTTCAATAGTTAAATTAATAGAATTATGATCTATATTGCTAATTTCAGTTGCTAATTTTACAAATTGAGGAGTATATTCTTTCTTATTTAGCTTAAATGATTTTTTGACTAATTTTTGAAATTATTTTGATGTTGTTTTTTTTGCTTTTTGAATAGAAGAACGTGTTTTTGAAATTTGTTTAACTTTAAAAGAATTAGCTTTAGTTATCTTTATATTTAAAGAATGATTTTGTTTTGTAGAATTCATAGCTACTTTTTTGAGTTGATTATTTTCTTTTTTAAGAAATTTTGTCTTTTCTTGAATAGCAGTTGCATTTGATTCTTGTTTATAAAGTCCAACTTTAATAAAATCATATGCTTTTTTTTTGAAGATAAGGAGATAATATTTCTCCAACATTCCTTTATTTAGGATATACCATAATATTTAATAGAGAATGTGTGCTCTTTCTATTTGTGAATCAGATAACGAATCTATAATTTTAATTAATTCTACACGTTTTTTGTTAAATGTGCTAATATTTTCATTTAAATTATTTAAATGATTAAAAATTTCATCAATATTATTATCATTTAATTCATTAAGTTTCTTTATTATAAGTTCGATCTTAGTGTCTTTTTAAGAATTATATTCATTATAATTTTTTTGTTGAATTAATTCTCTACAATTTCATGCTTTAAATGTTTAGCTTGTTTTTTAGGACGTGGCATTATTAATAAAATCAATTAATATTTTTAGATTTATTGATGATAAATTTAAAAATCAAACAGAAAAAAGTTTAAAAAAAAATAAAAAAATGTTTTATATATAAAAAAAATTTCGTTTTAATGACTTTTAAATGTTTATTTTTTTATTTTTTTCACTTCCCAATTTTGACTGATGCATTAATTCTGAATAAACGTGATTTTATAAATTTTTGGACAAATTCGCCAATGGTATAATTTACCGGTAGTGCTTTGCCGTCGGGATGTAAAATTTGTACCTTTATCGTTGTCGGTCATTGCTATATATTCAAAAATTTTCGAAATTTTTGGAGAATTTTTAATTCGACGTTCTGTATAAACTAAATTTATATTTATTCGGTTCATTCAGAGGAAAAAAAAGAGATGATTTATCCATTAATTTAAAATAAAAATGTTAATTGAATTGTCACGAAAATTTAATTTAGCAAATTCTCTGTAGAAGTTACAAAATTGAAATAAACAACAATAACGCTAAATAAATGGCACAATTATACAACTGTACCGTTGGACAGTTTGGCAAATAATATTAAACTTCCAAGGCTGTTGTTAAACATTTATGCATAATTCTTATACAATCCCAAAGGAGATTAATCTAAATCTTTGATAAAAAAGGTATCATATCAAGTTGGTGTTATGTGGTAAAACGCTCCGCCCAAGTGATTTTATCTCTCATTCATCACTGTGTCCTCTTCTTACACGCGATTTATTAATCACAACATTAGAAGAATTTGTGTCACCAAAAAATATTTTGTATTGATTATTCAATCGTTTTCAATAAACAGTTTTTTCATTATGACTATTTAATTTTTATTTGTGAACGATCGTAAAACCTTGCGCTGAAAGAAAACTGAAAGCAAACCAAAATTCTATTGCGCATAATAATAGCAATTTTTTGGACAAAATAAATGCATTAATAAATGATTTTAACATCTTTCATTTCTATGCAAAAAATTTTATTAAATGTGTATGTGTGAGATTATTTTACATAAAAGGTTCCCTCCATCATAAATATCATACATAATTGAGAAAAACTATGTATAACATATTAAAAAGGAGTACAAATGTATTATAAAGTATTTTGAATTAATTATTCATTTAATCATAATACAAAAGCTATAGATTAATGATTGAAGAATTAAAAAAATTAATTTCTTTCCCCTTAAACAAAATGCATAAAATTACAATTATAATAATAAAAATTTTTTTTTTAGACTAGATTACAAAAAATTGTGAAAAGAAATCATAATTAATATTAACATAATTTAGCATATTTCATTTCGTTAGCATGAATATTTGGATGTTTATATCGGATTGAATTTTGGTGCATTCGATACAAAAGCGAATATTAACCCAGCAATGCCTCCGGCTGCCTAATGAAAAAAAAAAAACAAATTTATGTTTATGTTTATGCAAATAATGAAATGAAAGTTGTTTAAATATAAATTCTTAAACTAGTACCGGCAACGTCAATATCCAACTAAAGAAGCACCATGCTAGGAGATTCCAGTTAAGCGCCTGCCACTTTCCATTGCATAAACCCACACAAGCGGTTGCACCGGTAATACAATGTGTTGTAGATACCGGTAATCCTTTTTTTTTTAAAAAAAAAAAAATTTTACAAATTTTGAATTAATCACAAAATACAAATAAATAATCTATAAAATTTCACATTATTATTATACATACCAATTTTTGAAGCTGTTAATATCGTGAGTGATGTTCCCAATTCCATCGAGAATCCACGAGACGGAGAATGATATGTTATCCTGTTACCAAGTGATCGCATCACATGAAAACCATAAAAGATTAGTCCAATATCAATAGAAGCACCACCCATAGCCATAATCCAAATTGGTACAGGTGATTTTCCTGACGTTTGAGTAAAAATAAAAATTAGTTAAGAGACAAAATTCAGGATGCATTATATCAAAGTAATAGAAAAATTAGATATACCTGATGGATCCACTGAACCAGATCCATAAATGAGAACAATTGTAGCCAATGGCCCGACCGCATTCGACACATCATTTGATCCATGAGCAAATGATGCGAATGCAGCTGTAATAACTTGAAGAAATGAATAGAGTTTTTCAGTATCCGGGTCATATTTGGTAGCAACGTCATGCATCTCCTGATCAATATCTGCCTTATATCCAGCTACTTCTTTACTTAAACCATATTGAACAAATTTTTTAATCCTGGAGAAAATATTTTGGAAGATATTTTTCTTTTTGGTGTCATCTGATGACGATGAGGTTTCAATAATAATATCCGTTGTGTCATTATTACTAAATTTCGATGATTTTTCACTTATTCCACTCGTTCCACTCAATGTAACATTATTTTCATAATCATTTTCATTATGAGGTCCAATGAATGGAATAATAAAAATATGATACCATTTAAGACCCTTTTCATTTCCAAGTATCCTACGTCCTAAAAATATTCTTGAGGCATTAATATAGGTTCTTATTTTTTTTCATTTCTTCACTATAAAAAGGAAATGTTATGCATCACTTACTTAACCATTGTGCATAGAAGAAATAAGAAAAAGCTGAAACTACAAGAGTAATACCGAAAACAATAGGGGCGATGACGTGACTTGGGACTTCATTAAGATTTAATCCGCTGGCTCCCTTATAAATAAGGAAGAGTACATTTATAGCAGTGGTAAGTCCAAAGTAAATGGGTATGGCGACTAAACCGCGTTGGAAGGAAGTATCTTGATATGCCAGAACAAAATATTTTGTTGCCGAAAAGATTGCTGAAGCTATGAGACCAGCTGCAAGAGGTGAAAAGAACCATGAAGTAATAATTTTTGCGACTCCATTATATGACCAATCAATAGCTTCCTTAAATTAGTCGATTCAAAAATTTTGAATAAATATATAATTCATTTATTTATAAGAAAAAAAATATTATTAAAACAAAATATCATACTGGACCAAATGCCGCAATTCCAACTCCAATAATTGCTCCAACTACAAACAAAACAGGATCTTAATTAGGTATTATTGTAAGCGCGGCGCTAATTTAAATAGTATGACACCAACCAATTGAATGCGTAGTCGATACTGGCCACCCTTTTGAAGAGGCGAATATTACCCATGTCGCTGATCCGAACAATGCGCAGACCATCCCTAACTAAATTCAAAAAAAGGAATGATTAACTTTTATTCTGTAAAAAAGTGATGATTATGACATACCATGAGTAATTCGGGATGTTCTGCGAATAAGTCGACATTTAAAATGTTTCCACGAATAGTTTCTGTTGTTTTTGCACCCAATAAAAAGGAGCCAAGGAACTCAGTAAAGAAGGCAATAGCACAAGCTTGCTTTAATGTAAGTGAGCGAGAACCAACTGAAGTCGAAAAGCTATTCGCAACATCATTTGCTCCAATACCAAACCCGTCGGCAAAGGCTACGACTATGCCCAGAACCAATAGCCAAGAATAAGCGTAAGGTTCCATTGAATTTTTTCCAGGGCAACGAATAAAGGCGAAGGAAAGTGTTTTGTAACGAAATAACTTCCTAGGAAAAATATAAATTTTTTTTATATATAATATATTTCATGAAAGGTATATTTTTTTAATTTAATCGTTTGGCGCTTATTATATATAATACATGAAGTTTAGATACTTTAAAGCAATTTGCAACTAATTTTTTATGCGGTAGATTCAAAAATTTAATTCTCAAAACTTTATTTTAAAGATCTTTTTGATTAACGAAAAATCTAACAGTTACATGTAAGAGGGAATATTCGATGTAAGGTTACTAATATACCATTAATATACTTGAATTCTTAATTCTATTCTATTTTTGTAGTATAATTTTGGTTTGTTCATTGGCTATTGGTGCAAGAATGCAAATGGGCTGGTTTGAATTTGAAATTGAAATATAAAAAAAAGTTGAAATTTATCCTTTTTTATAAAAAATTTGTAATTCGTCACGCGCAGTACTTTTTATTGGATGTATAAATCCAAACGATGCAATTTTAAGAAATATGATTCGTCAAATTGATCATTTTGTAGAAATTCAATTATATGCAATGTAATGTAGAAAATCGAAACCCAAAACTTAGATCGACAAAATGTCAAAATAAGTCTTATCATTGCTATATGGGAAAAGTTTTTTTCTCACCATTTGTTCTGTGGCGCAGCGAGCATTAAATGTCGAAGAAATATTCTTATCAAATATTAATAATCGACGACAAAAAAATGTCTGTTTCTAATAGTTCTACGTAAAAAAAAAAAAAAAATTCGCACAATGTAAGAAATACCACATAATTAAGCATAAATAATAGCCTTGGACCCTGAAACCGATACTTAATTTAATCGGTGACACGAGATTTTTATTTATTTGGTAATATAAGACATACATTATACTAGGGAAATCCGGAGCACAACGAAAGAGACCAATGGGGGACACCGGCCGGGCATAAAAATATATAGTCCGGAGCGTAGCGAAAAACTACGTAATAAGAACTTCGTTTGTTTTTACCACTACTAATATATCTAAAATTTGACTTTAAGTACTTTTTTCAACTATTGAACAATTTGTCTTCTTTACCTTTTATCATAGAATCATCAGATTCATTATTAATAATTGAGATACTAACTATTATACTAATTGTTTAATTATAATCGTTATAGTCGATTTTCAATCCAAAAGTATCATTATTTCAAATTCAAGTTGCTTTATACTAAATCAAAAAATCTGCATATTATAACTATTATTATTTGCTTAAAAACAGATTTAATTTAATATAAATTACTGTAGAATATTTAAATCTTTAAAAATTACTAAACTCGCAATATTTTTAAATTAAATTTTAAATTCTTTAAGTTATATATTATTTCTAACATTATTTAATTACTTTTTTGATTTTATTTAAATTATTTTATTTTAAATTTAAAAAAATTCAAATTTAAAGTTATTTACAATTTAATTTAAAAAACAAAATCTTATCCATATTGAATTAAATAATAAAATTAGTAATAAATATATTGTAATATCTAATTATAATTATAAATTTTAAATTATCTTATTATTTTTTTTAAAAATTTAATTTTTGTTTTTAATTTTATTTTATTTTATAATAAAATAGATTCTAAATATTTATTAATATTTAATTATTAATATTAATTTATTAAAATTTTATAAAAAATATTTTAAGCAATTAAGCTATTTTAAAATTAATAGTAATTTTAATTTTCTCTATAATAATTTTATTAAGCTAAAATTTATCTAAATTAAATTAAAAAAAAAAAAATTTCAATTTATATAATTTATATACAAATTCATATAATTATATCTTAGAATCAAAAATTGATATAATTTAAAGAAGTTATATAATTAAAAATAATACAGAAATTAATTTCAAATTTATAATTTGTTATAATATTTTAATTACAGTTTTATCTTATATATAATATAACTATTTAAGAATTTTTAAATAAGTTTATTAATAACTTTAGTAAATTCATATGTTTAAACTTTTCTATAATCATACTTTCAAGAGTAATACAAAAAGTTGTAAAGTATAATCGACCAAATAAGTATATTATATCACATAAAATATTTTGAGGATATTTTTGTTATACTAATCAGACCTAACCTAATCTTAAATTAAGTCTAACTTACCAATATTAATATTAACTTTAGCAATTATATACCATACTATACTCAATTGATTATATTCTACAACTTTCTGTCTTATTTTACTTTCAGTTATATAATTATTTTTCAAAATATATACTATAAAAAATTTTACTTGATTGAAATATAAAGGTATTTTTTATTGGTTAATTATAATTAGTTTTAATAAAGATATAATAATAAAAAAATTTTTATATAATGTAATTATAAATAAGATATATATTTTATAAGCAATTTTTTTAAAAAAAGATAAAATATACAATTAGTAGAAAAGAAAAAATAATAAATTAATACTTAATGGTATACTATATATACTTGTGTTAATTCTATTAAATAACAGAATTTAAAAAAAAAATTTATATTTATAAAATATATTTTTTATTATAACTATAATATGATTATAAGCTAGAAGAATAAGATTTCAAGATATTTTAAATAAAGTTTAAATTATTAATATTAAATATATAAGTTTTAATTAGTTAAATTTTTATAGTATATTAATTTTTTTGTATTTTAAATACAGCTTTATCAATTATTTTATTAAGATAAAAAGATATTTTCAAAGAAAATAAAAGAAATTACAAATAAAGAAAAATAAAAATAAATAATAACTATCTAAAAATCTAAACTAAATATTAGCTATCTTTTAATAATAAAAATGTAAAAATAAACTTATTTATCTAGATCAATCTATCATTTTTAATTTTTCTTTTAGACTTAAAAGAACTAGTATAATTAATAACTACTAAAATCATTAATAAATAAAAAAAAAACATCTGAATTGATTTAAGAATCTTTTAACTTGTATTTATTATAAAAGTAAGTTGTATCTATAATTCTTAAGTTTAAAAAAGTGTTTGCTTTGATTATGTAAAAAATTATGAGATTTTCTCTTTATATATTTATATAAGAAGTATTATACATTAAAACTTTTTTAATATAAAAAAATCATAATAATAAGTCTAAATATCAGTTGAATAATTTATAAAAGGAAACTAATTTTATTTGAAGATGAATAAAATGAAAATCTAAAAAAGCTTCTAATGATTAATCTATCCTCTCTAAAATTAATAATTCAATTTTAATAGAAAGAAACATTCAATTATTATAGATAGATTTCTGATTAATATTTCTAACTTTAATGCTAAATACTTTTCAGTAAAACTTATTGAGATTACAAATGCAGTAATTAATCACTTTCAAAATTATATTATTCTAATAAAAGATAAAAATCCTTTTAATAAAAGATGAACCAATTAATATTAATTACAAAATTATATCAATTCAAATGTATATAATAATTTAATGCAATCTTCAACCTAAAAATAGATTTCAACTTTATATTACATTTCTAACAATAAAGCTTTAAATCCTTCTAGAATATTTAATGAAATGTTATCTTATTTAGAATATAACTTTTAATACATACTTAGGCAATTAATCTATATAAGTTTCATATTTGGTAAAATTATTAATAAGTAAAAAATAGCATACATTTATTCTATACTAAAATTAATGAATTGAAATTGTGATATTACTAAATTAGATTGATCACATTCCTCAAAATAGCTCATAAAGATTTCGTAAAGATCCTTAATAATAGATTATCTAAAATCTTAGCAAAAATAATATCTTGAGAAAAAAAATTTTGCAAGTTTAAAGCTCTACTAAACCCTTATTAAAATCATGAATATGCTTTTAAAAGACCTATATAAAATAAAAAAATATTTGGATTCTTCTTCAAAATCTTTCTAAAACTTATAATAGAGTAGATCTCAAATTTCTGAAACTAGCTCTTTAAGAATTAAACTTCCTACTTTAGCCTTCGATCTAATTATTAATCTTTTTACTACTCGTAAGAATATTATCTTAATTACTAATAGAATTTTCTCATACTATAACGTTAAAATAGGTATTAATCAAGAAAAAGTCATTTTATTACTCCTTCAATATATTTATTTAGATCCTCTTTTATACGAAATTAATTTTTTTAATAAAGGGTATACTATTAATTATATATGAGTCTCTGATATTATCAATAATTTAATTACTACATTATCTGAATCTGTTTCTTTATTGGCCTTTATAAATAATACAAATTGGGATTGCTAATAGTTAATTATATTTAGAATATATCCTCAAAATAGCTGATAACTTTTATAATCTAACTAGTACTGTCTTAAACAAAGAAAAATCAAAGCTTCTTACCACTAACTCTATATCATCTTCTCCAATCAATTTTTACTTTAGATTCATATATATTAATATCAAATCTGAATTAGTATTTATATATTTCTTAGAAATTTGGATCAACAGTCAATATTTATAGAACTTTTTCAAAAATTAAATCAAATAGAATATTAACAAATTTGTTAATTCTATAAAATATAAGCTTATTACTAATAAACAAATGATTTACATTATTAATATAATTTTCTGTTCTTTATTTGAATATCATATATAAATTACTTCTCTATCAAAAAATGAAAGTGATACTTTCTTTGTATTAATCAAATCTCTATTTAAAAACAAACTTCATTTTTCTTCTACCCTTTCTAATGTTCTTCTAAATATTTTTATAACTTTAATAATCTTGAATATTACAAACCCAATCAATCTTTACTTCTATACTAAACTAATTCAATAATAATTAATTTTATAAGAATATCTTAACTATTAGACTTTTCCAATTATAATCAATTAATATATTGGCTACTTCTCCTTTAGATAATTAATATCATTCATTTAATAGAAAATTATATAAAAATTTAATTGGTACTTTACTTAGTCTAATCAGTCATTATTCTCAAAA